GTTGTTTTGTCAACCTCTTTTTACTGTCTATTTCCCCCTTACTCTCTACTTTACGCAGACTAAAGAAGTACACTCTACCAGAGACGCAAACACGCAGATTTTGTTTTAAATCAACAAATGACCACTTTGCCCCTGCCTTGTTCTACGCGTTCAAGGAGTAACATAGTTTGGTTGGTCTCATGATATGGAAGATGGACTCTGTTCCTTATAATCTATAAGACTAACTCGTTCACGTGAAACAAGTTGTATGTTGTCACTTAAAACAATATTTGTCTTACATGAACAAATGGATGGCACCTTAATAACATAAAGTAGCATATGCTTTTGTCGAACTTCCTATGATAAAATTAGGTGTAAACAACTTCTTTACAACCAAGAAATCTATGCAGATAAAAGAATTTTGACATTTGAAGCAATTACATAGTCTTGGAGAACGTTGATAAAAAGTAGGAGCAGAGATAGGAAGAGATTAATCACATTCAAAAAGATATACTGCAACACAAATGTATTCGTCATACGAGTGTCTCTTGATCAAGTCAATAGCAAAATACTGCAGCTAATCAGCAGCTCCGGATTCAACAAATCTCTCTGCCATGGATGTCAATATTCTACAATCTCTCAATCTCTCTGCCATAGATTTCAATCTCTCTGCTATGAATAAGAACAAATCGTTTCAATATTCTACAAATTCTCTGCCTTTTAAACAACATTACAGAAACTAGAGAAAGGTGACTAGAACGAAAAGGAGTAATGCAGCGGTAAAAGAATAGTTTAGAACAGCAACAACAATGGCAAAAGAGATGAGAAAAAAAACTGCCATAAGACCTCAAGACTAGCCCAAGTCAATTTCCCATCTGGATCCGGATTCAACAAGTCAATTGCCACCGTTTTGTTCACATGTCTTGAGCTTTAATGGTGATTGGCAGTACGATGGTGACGAATGTTATGGAAAAAACGAGGCTTTAGTGTAATAAGAACAAAGGGTTTCAAAACTAGCATCTTGGATTTGTCGGAATTAGTTTCATCTGCAATTGCATAAATAAAGGTCAAATAGAATCGAATTTAGGTTCTCAAAAGATATGAATTTACCTAGAAGATTTAAACATATCAAAATCAAGTAAAAACCATAATTCTCGCCATCAATATCCCTTTAATTGAACTCAAAACCAAACACAAGCTGATATGCAAATCTCTGCTAAAACTCTTTCTTTCCGAGTTGTCCATGTTTCCTCTTCTCTACTATAGCTTATGAAACTTATAGAACAATTATGCAGACATAAGAATATAGCTCGTCTGCCTAGCCTCTTCTGTTTTTTTAAATAGAGTTTCTGCAACTTATGCTAAAGGCACACAAATAGTCTTAACAAAATTGGCAGACATAACAGTTTTCAATTAGCCTTTGTCATCCTTAGCAGTTTGTAAACAGAGTTTGAGCAGGCTCTGCCAAGCCAAAAGGGTAGTATTGTCAATTCTAGAAAAGTGTATCATTCTAGGAATTTTTTTTTAGCGATACTATTTTAGGAATTAAGTTTCGTTTTTGTACTATTTTAAGGCATTTCTTCTTTTAATATTTCGGGTACAAATTACAAATTTCGGATATAAAATACCCTTAACCGATTGGTATACAAAACATTTCGGTTCTTAAACTGCAGAAACCGAACCGATCAGATCGTACCCGAAATCGCAGGCTGTTAAAGAAAAATCCAAGTAATAAAAAGCATTATCACAAGTCAAAACTACACCACCGAGCTTCATTAATCTTCTTCTATCAGTCGTCGTAAGAGAAGGTAATCTTCTTACCGCAAAATTTGTCAATCTTAGGTTTCTTCGGCTTCGGTTTGGTGTCCAAATAATCTTCTCCAAATCGTCGAAGGTAGTCTTCGTACCTGGAATATCAAAAACCCTTGTGATCTCTCCATGTATACCAAAAATTTCACCCAACGTGCTCTTGATAACAAAACTCAAAAGTCAAATAGTTAAATCCCTTACCAAAGCTTCTCTACAAGGTTGTACCTAATTAACAAAAATATTAGCGTTAATCTTTTACTTGGGTCAAAACTGTCAATAAAATTAAAGAAACAAACTCCATAAAAACCAATTTACTTGGGTCGGAGAGGGAATGGAGATGTCTTAACCACGTCGAGAAAAATCTTCCAATTGCATCCACCATTCCTCTTTTCCAATGCCTTCAGTATAAAGATTTAATCAGCAATCGTGTTTTCAAATAACTACTTGTATAATTTTCATCATTACTATAAACTACTCTCACCTTCTTTGCTTCGTTAGCAGAAGCAAACTCAATAAAGCCACAGCCCACAGGCTCACCCTGCTGTTCACAATAAGTCGAACACGGAAAACTTCTGCAACATGTTTGAAGATCCTGTTGCTGTAAAGATGGAGGACAAAATACGAGTCATGAAAAACTTGCACCGAGAGCGGAAGAGGAAATTTAAGGTGCTACTTAGAGCATAAGCATCCATGATACAAGGAGAGTATCAGTTGAATAAACAAATATTAAAAACACATTCTCTCTTCCTTTTACTCAACTTTATACTTTCTCTTTCATCTTTTTACTCAACTTTTATTAATTTTATACTCTCTTTAAATATAAAATTATTAAAAACATTTGATACACTCTCTCTTTCTCTCTTTAAAAATATCAAAAGTATCAATTATTTGATACCCTCTCTCCAAAAATATCAACTATCTCTTCTCTTTACTCAAATTTTATTAATTTTATATTTCAATACACCCCCACTATTTCAACCAAAAACACTCTCTTTCTTCCTTTAACTCAAATTTTAATAATTTTATATTTAATGATACCCACATTGTATCACCCATACGGATGCTCTTAGAGCATAATTATAGGTAGTAAATATGTTAGGGGTAATATATGAATTTTATAATATTAATTGT